TAATTTCAAACAGTTCCAAGATTGGGCTACTAGTTCAAAAGTTACAGCCCTTTGAATTTTCTTTCGAAATCGGTTTCTAGTCTATAACTTTTGATTGAGAAGTCTGATCGAAAAAGTACGAATTGTTTTGGATTCTACGCACCAAAGTTAATAAGAAAAAGTGTTTTCCCGAAAAATTTTGGTGCAGTCGATTTTTGGTAAAAAAGGAAGGTTATACACTGCCTTTTCTTGAGCCCCGAAAAAAAAATTGCCTCAGATCGACCCGGAAAAAAATTTTCTTATAGAATGTGGCCTGTAGAATCCATAATTTCAAACAGTTCCAAGATTGGGCTACTAGTTCAAAAATTACAGCCCTTTGAATTTTTTTTCGAAATTGGTTTCTAGTCTATAACTTTTGATTGAGAAGTCTGATCGAAAAAGTACGAATTGTTTTGGATTCTACGCACCAAAATTAATCAGAAAAAGTGTTTTCCCGAGAAATTTTGGTGCAGTCGATTTTTGGTAAAAAAGGAAGGTTATACACTGCCTTGTCTTATAGAATGTGGCCTGTAGAATCCATAATTTCAAACAGTTCCAAGATTGGGCTACTAGTTCAAAAGTTACAACATTTGATTGAGAAGTCTGATCGAAAAAGTGCGAATTGATTTGGATTTTACGCACCCAACCCAAATTAATAAGAAAAAGTGTTTTCCCGAGAAATTTTGGTGTAGTTGAATTTTGGTAAAAAAGGAAGGTTATACACAGGGGCGGACTGGGTACTTACGGGCCATTAAAGTATTAGTGTAGTAATGAAGGTGGCGAGGGGGGGGGGTAGCTCTGAGGTGCACCACAAAAACATTTTAAAGTACTCCTTTTCTCGAAAATCAATTACCATGCAGTTTTTTTTTAAATTGCAACTGATAATTAAAAGTAACAAAATATACAATCCACACGAGGTGCGTCGCCTATCATTGTATTTCAGCACTTTCAAAATACTACGACAAAAAATGATAAATTCATTGTAAAACACTTCAATTAAAACAGAATTTTTTAACAACCTAACATCAACCCCAATTAGAAAAACGTGTTAATAATTTATTAATAGTTCAAGAAACTAAATACAGCACATACTTATAAATTTCCAACGGGCCATTATGATCTACAGGCTCCCCGCCCCCCCCCCGCCCCTCGTGCCAGTCCGCCCCTGTAAATTTTGATATTGTTTGTGAGCCGAAGTATAGTTGTAGGGTGATATTGTCAATTCAGTGAGTTCACGCTCTAAAATCCAAATCTTTTCGGAAATTAAATGTAATTGAAACCACGTAAACTATTGCTATAGATATTGTAAATAATGTACTACGCAGGAGCACAGGAGACAATTGTGTAAATCCATAATTATTATAAGTTTCATCAAGTGTATGATTATACTTCGGAAATTCTGGTTATTGACCACAACTTACAAAAAGTAGCATTGATGAATAGGAAACTGACCGAAAGATTTTACTAAACCTCTTATTAATTTAAAAATATTGTTATTACTCTATCGATCATTATTTCGTTAAAAACGCAAATGGAAAAAAAATGAATAATTTCTGAAAAGGCCACACTCAAGGTTGTTCTTCTATATTGGGAATTTTTGTTAGGATGTCTGCATGAATATGAGTCAACGAAGTCCCGCAATTAAGAATCCATCATTGTGAGATAGCCAAGCAATTTTAACGCACCTGTAAGTTAATAAAAGCAATAGGTTCCGAAATCGTTTATTTTTCGTTAATTCGAAACCAGAAAAGTGCATGCCGAATTGATGAGCACATTTCTTGCTTTCAAGAGGTGCGTTTCAAAATTTTTTTGTCAAGCCCTATAGTAAAACATGTATATTTATTCACTTATAACGCAATTTGAGATAAATAAGAGAAGTGCTTTGCAACACACTTAAGAGATAAATTAAAGATAAATACCGTAAAAAAAGTCTACTTAATAATACCCTAAAGTGTATTCTATGGGTGTTCATACAAACCAAACTTGTCCTCAGATCATCTGGCGAAAAAAAACGAAGATTCGACTTCTTTATTGTTGGTTTCGTTGACCTGCGATATTTTTAAACGTGCGATCACTTCTACTTTTTATACTCTCAACTTCAAGGGACTTATGGAAATATAATTGGCGTTTATTTATTTTAACGAAATAAAAAAATGTATACTGCCGTTCAACTTTTACAAACCCCTATGGTACTTGAAGTCATGAATTTTCTATGCCTTTACAGAGAAAAAAATATGAATCTGGAAATACACTCTGCAGTGGACCGGTTTTGTGTTCTGACTTCTCATTGAAATCTCTTACAATTTTTTTATTCATTTATTATAGAATCTTAGTTACGCTTGTATAAATTAATTACTTGTGTAGTTGGTGTGTTGGGGCTTTGATTTAAAAAATCGGCGCGAAAGGCGTCGGTGGGGAATGCGCTTTAACATTTTACTAATAGGTAGTGGTTTAGAAACAGAAAATGTTTGAAAAAATAATAATCGAATAGTGAAAAGAAAGTAGCCTACTGCCTTGGGAACAGTTAAGTAGGGAGAGGCAGTCGACTGGTTAGTGTTCTACTTGCGACGTCATAATGAGTCTTACGTCGGCGAAGGTGTTCGCGAGTTGTTTCGCACTCTGAGAGACGATTTGCGTGCAAACAACCGCGAAGCGTCGCGACGGCTTTTCTGTTTCGAACCATTCACATTTTCACGTAAATTGTAGTGCAGTGAAGTGCAACATTTGGGATTATATACACAATAAATCTGGAGTTACCTACTCTATGTAAGTTTATTAATTGTCTATGAGATCCGTAAACAAATGCTTTCACCTATTGAGTCGGTGCCTTTCTTATTTTTAGTTTTTCGTTTCTTCTAGAAAATATTTACGCGTACCACGAAGGAATGGGGCTTTGAATATTAAGGCGCACTCCAGACACTTTTTTGAATTTAAATTTTTACTTGCGGGTGAATTCTGGGTAGTGTAATTTACTCAAGTTTGTAATGTGAGAATAATTCAGTACCCATGCAGGTTACTAAATAAAAAGCAATTATCCAAACAATTAGTTGAAGGTTTTGTTAATGTTTAATAGTACGAACTCTTCTGAACCACTAAGAATCTAGCAAGGCTAGTGGCTAGTTAAGTTTCACTTGGTGCGTTTCACAAACTCTCTCGTAGTACAAAAGTGTGGACGCAAAGTAGGTAAATTCGCGTGAAATTGCATCGTTAAGGGTTGTTGGGATTCGAGAAAAGAACTGGCCGTATTCCAATAACGCTTAACTTATCCACCAACCCCTCATGCCGAAGACGATTTTTTCGACTGTATCTCATCGTAACGAACGCCTTCGCGGTAATAAGTTACAGCAATAATATCAAAGACTCGTTTGCAATTGACAACTCCTTACATAACTGTTTGATTTCGTAGGTAGTAATAGCGCGTTGGTGACACCTACCATTTAATATTCTCAAAAGGTAATACCCGGTCGAAGAAGAACGGTAATTTTGAGTTCACTTTGAATTTGCAATCGCTGGAAATGTTAATGATGAATGTACGACCAAAATTCTGCCTTCAGAACACGCTTGTCGCAGTTTTTTTTGTATTCTTAACATTGTACGAAATTCTGTAGACATTCCTCCTAAATAAACATATATACATACATGACCGTGCAATGCATGTGTCCCCATGTGGCATCTCTTCATTAGTATGTTGACCTTATGGTAAATATATAACCGTCTTCATACGTGTAATACATGGTAAATCTTCACATTTCAAATTGTGAAACATTTCTTCTAGGATTATCAAGAAATGGTGTCGCGTAGAAAGATTCTATCACGATCCCGAGATGATCTTCACATGGATTCCAATTTCCAACAACCCGAAGACGAGGAAGACGTTTGGTACCAAAAGGACAAACTTTACAAGGTACATTTCTTTTACTAATGCTAGATTAATCGCGTACATTTTTTAACCGAGTGGGGACTTTTCCAGCTGCCCATTTTTCAAAACGAAGGTCAGAATGGCAATTAAAATGCAATCTTAGGCTGGGGCTTTGCTTTCTATGCGGCCTTGTCGTAAATGCATACCTTTAAATGTGACAATAAACATTTGCTGGTGCTAGTGCGATTTATCACTTGACTGCATATAATGTGTGTGCGCCAAATTTGCGTCCTTGCAATTTTATCTCCTATTATTAACATTTCATTTGATGTATAAATTTGTCACAAGCAAATGTTCTTGACATTTGCGGAGACCCTGACGGACCTACAGAACAACTTTCACAAGGCGCACGCACGTAACTTTATATAAGTTAAAATCATCAACCCAGTACGGCGTTATATTAATTTCATATACAAATTCCAAACAAAATTTTGTTTCTCTTACGTCAGCCCGTTAAAATAACGTTATATAATTAAAAAAAAATCGTCTTACCCACTCTTCCGATTGAAATTTACTTTCAATATGACTAAACGTGGAATCTCGACTTCATTATAACAATATGGAAACTTTAAAAATGTCGGGAACTACAATATAATAGCAAGGAGTTATTAGAGCGTATCAACAAACGTCGATTAATACTATGATATTTCTAAATGTTATATAAGAAACACAATCATATTTTCTTTCGCGATCGCCTTACCTATTTATGAACGGTGAACGGGTTCAATATGAGATTTTTTGGGTATTTTTTCTGCCGTCCTCTTTGGTGCTCCCCAGGCTAACAAATAAAACGGATAGGACAGTCGTAGACAAAATAATCTGATTAGCATTCTGACTTTGAAGTTGATTTAATTGGATGTGTCGGTCTAATTGAATTGTCTGGTATCCTGGCGAGAAGGTTAACGTAAATAAACAAGGAAATTTTCAAAGCCGCTTGGATTTGGCAGGAGTTCGCTTCATGAGACTACAACCGTTAACAATATGGACACATTCGTGAGCCATCCTTTCCTATATGCAAAACTCTATCACAGTTGCAGCCCTCCTTGTGCAAGCAAAACTAGTCTGGTACAAATTTAACACTAACCGATAAGTTACTGGAAATTTTTTTAATGGCACTTACCCAAAGGGCGAAGTGCCAAAGGTAGTCAAACAAAATCAATATTTCATGCTTGATGGTCATAATGATTTTGCAATTAGACCGAAACTGTCCCGCATCATTCCTAAATCATTCGAGTGTTGGTTAAGATGGCGGTTCATGGAAAGCGCAACATGCAAAAGGAACTCATAGGAGCCTCTTATGAAGACGCTGAGTCTGAATAATATCGCATCGAGGAGGGATCCAATTAGTGCAACAACAACAGAAAGACTGTTATTACTATCGCGACTGGACCGAAACTAAAAGAACATACCACGAAGAGGAATAATCTTCGGAGAATGTTTTATTGCAGAAGGGTTATGGAGTTATACTGATACCCATACCAGTGCTCTACAATATAACATTGATGATTTTGTTCGAACGAAGAACAAAGATACTACAGAGTCATTATTAAGCAATTAAATTGAATTCAAAAACGTATGGCGCCGCACACTATGGTTTATAAGTATTACAGATATAAAATGTCGATATAAGATAAAACATTAATGGAGAAGAAAGATGTTCGGCCATAGGGATTTTACAATACACATTCTACAGATCTTATGGGACTCAAGTTACATCATTCAAATGAAGATCACTTTACGGGAACATGATTGAGTATGAGGGGTTACTTTGATTCAGAGACTGCCATTGAGGTAAGGCTCCTATATCAAAGGAACGTAGCCAACATGCATTATATAGCAAACGATCACAACCTTTAATGGTGGGATGGGCAAATACCATCAAAAGGTATGGAAAACTATCAAGCAATCTCTGAAATAAATGCACCAAAGTTAAAAGAAAAAACAAATCGATTAGTGGTAATCTATCTATATCAATAAAAATGAACGTCTGTCTGTCTGTCTCTTATACCTGCCTAAACCGTTCATTAGATTGCGATGAAACTTTGAGGATTGATTGGACGTTTGCCCGCGAAAGTTTTTGATATAGTAAAACACTTTCCGAAATTCCCACGGGAACGGGAAAGACACGGGACTTTACGGTTTACAGTCGAAACTGCGGAAGATAGAGACTTGACGTTTAGAAGGTAGGTTTGTTTCTTTGGAGGCGTTAAGGTGTACTTCGAAAGCACTTCCGAATGGAAAAAACGAGATTTCCTCAGGGCGGTCCGACGTTCGCCGCGTCTGCTAAGTATAGGTAATAAATTCCCCAAGTCCGGTACTATAGTTCACCAGTCACAACTATATAAAAGGTGTTATTTTTCCACTGAAATTTTATTTTGTCGCGTTCAAATATCTACAACTTTCAAGACGCAGAAGAATGGATTGTTTAAACAATGTGAAAGAAAGTGAAGAATTTTAGACGGAAGGTAAAGGATAACACAACGGAAGCGGATGACAAGGGACCGATTAAGGTTGCAACTTGTAATACGTGATATGCGTTGAGAATTAAGTGCATCATCTATCATTAGCATTAGTATCGTAGAGTTCAAAGCTGTCCCCTTAAAAATATGATTAGGTGTCATTCGCTCATTCTGTAGATATAAAAGACAACAGACGAGATTTAGAGATCTTTTACATTCTCAGTTATCCAATATCTGTGGCAATCATGGGTTTCGAAGTAATTCACTTACCGATCAAAACCTGAAATTCTTACATTTTTGTAATATTCCACAAGCTTACATAATTAAGAACCGATGCCACTTTGTGTAGATTTTAATTATTTCTTAATGTAGTGCAGCAAAGTCCGTGACTCAGTGGTATGTGCTCTATTATGCGGACCTACCAAAATGTTAATTTGAAGTTAAAAAAAAATAATATATTGGAGATTTTAATGTCGATCTAATACCAAACGCGTCAGTGCATTATGTTAAACAAGTGAAAGCAATATCTTCGCTTGATGAATATTAAAATTTATAAATACACGCCGTAAAGAAAAATATTTTACAGCTATTGTTTGCGGGAATACCATAAATAGATAGATATACTAGACACAATTATAATATCTGGTGAGTCGCAATAGCTTGTGTTTAGTTAGGTATCTTATGGCAGGCATTAATTACAGCAAGGACGTTGTCGTAACGGCTAAAGCACTCCAGGCTAAAAACAATCACTTGCATTGCAAACCTATTACCTACTCGGAACCATGTTGCGTTGGTTGCACCGTTGGATGCGTTATTTATTATTGATTCGAAATATTGAAATTTTCTCAAATATGCTCGCACAAATTATATTTGTAAGGCACGGTAGACCAAAAATACCAGAAACCATAGGAACGATCTAAATATTAAGTCGAGGTTACACGATACGTTCACTTATGTGAAAGTTTCTCGTGTTTCTATAGGACTAATTTTTATAAAAATTATTCAAGTGAAAAATTGTAATAATAAACCTAGTACCAATTTCATGGGACATAATTCTATGACCGCAATTTTTGCAAAAGTTTGAGTTGAACGAAACTTTTTTCTTTAATTGCGAGCGGCATTAAGTGAGGAGAAATCAAATTATTCCGCTATTACAATTTAGGAATAATGGCAGATATAAACATATTGCATGCAGCAATATTTATAACAAAACTCTATAACATTATACGTTTCTCGTTAAACCATGGTTATTATATAGATATAATACAATCCGGTTTCCTTAGCAACTTTATAATGACTATTAAACTATGTTACAGACAACCGTAAAAAGAAAAGTATGTTAGTGGTGTTAAATATATTTGCGTAATCCTCCATTCTAGCTTGAATTTTCTTTTATAGGATCACATCCAGGAAGTATTAGATAAATGGACGCAAATTGATGACGAAATATGGGCGAAAGTGATCGTTTTGGAACGAAATAGAAGAGTCGCAAAGGCGTACGCGCGAGCTCCAGTTTTGACGGTAAATGGATCTGATGATGGATTCGACGGATTTCGGTAAGATAGTTTCGAAATTAACAACGCAGTGTTATAAAAAACACAACGGAATGCTCGTACCATAAAAACACATGCACACCTTCAAACTCGCTTACCTTAGTGAAAGTAATTTTGCAGTTATGACACATTTATATACAACCCGTTCTTAGGTTTACGGTAATTTAAAACTCTAAAGGTATTCCTAAAGGCGAGCTTATTCTGAAACCACAATCTACCTATCTATTGTTGTTTATATTAAAAAAAAATGTTTTTGTCTAATCACGATGGAAAGGAGGAAGAAACGTAATTGTTTGTTTAGAAATGATATGTAGGAAATAACATTTAAATGTGTTTTGTCAGTGGGATACCTTGTATAGTTTCGGATTTATGTAACCCGAACATTTTTACTTCCATTGCAACACCATGTTCCTGCTGAATTATAGTTTATTTTCGCATCATTTCGAAGGAATTTGGTATGATGTGGACAATGATGCATCTTATGCACAAGTTAAGGTTGATGAACATTTTCCAAGAGCGAATGACCAAAAAGAACATTTTTAATCACCAATAAAAACCTTGTAAACAGGAAAATCTTGCTCTGAGTGAAGCATATAAAATATAAATTATGAAAGTTGCGTACAAAATTCCTTGCCGTTACACCTTCCACAGCCTCTAGTTACTCGAATTTAAATTATGCATATTGCGATTAAACGGTTAAGTAGCTTAGATTACATTAAACGGTTTTCTTGAGTTTTTCTCTAAGCCTGGTTCTCATATCCTGCTCATTTGAACCAATAAACTTGAATTATGCCACGTAAATTGTATATGACCAAACACAAGTTCACATTCAATCGTCCAAATTATCATCAAGTTAAAACAAGCGCTATTTCTGAAAGAGCCTGTCGCAGAGACGATCTGCCTACCAAAATATTCTGTAGAGTTCAAAAGACAGGTCGAGATTGCAAATTTGATCGGAATTATTCAGGAAAAGAAGGTGAAAACGAGCGGAATATTCAATTGATTTTCAAGTTTAAGGAAAAGAAATCGCAGACGAATAGTAATCGTGCCATTATGTTTCGTTAACTGATAATCTTATACTTCATCAATATGTGAACATTATGCATCAATTTTGTAATTGTATGGCCGCAAAAGTGTTTACTTATTCCGTTAAATGTCTCCATACTGTTCCCACAAAGGGATTGGAAATGTTTGGTACCTGATAGTCCAAACTGTCATCCGTTATCTGTATGAAATTATTTACATTGTACCTAGCAATGGCTAAATGCATGTAGATTTAAATGCTCCATACGATGAACGTGCCCAAATTCGGACACCCACTACATTATCTGTACCTATACTCAACGTGCTGCATTGGGTCGGTGGAATGACCATTAGCATCAAAAGGGTTGGACACTTTTGGTTTTGATCTTCCAAAAATCGTGTCTTCGTTTTGAAAGAACGAATTATTGCTTGTTGAAGGTAATGTTTTAATCTGCTCCTGTGCTGCGTGTGCATAATATAAGGGCATCATTTCCTCACTGAGGAGAATATACTGAACCGAAACACAGAATTCTAGAAAATCAATTTTATTATTATTTATGTAAACTTCCATGCGCTTAATGTTTTTTCTATCTTGTTTTTTACCCATCACCATTAAAGAAATAATATTTCCTATTGGACCCAACCCAATTAGAAATACAATCTTGCAAATCAAACAGAAAATTCGTACGCAGGAAGTAAACCCAAGGAATTGGTTTAATATCGATTTCAAATACAGAATGAAATGTTGGATAACCATTATTGTTTGGAAAACGGGATTATGAAAGGAATGGCATTTCTTATGTTTGCACATTACCTATTATTGAATAAACTTTTATCGTTACCATAGATATATTATAATGGCTGTCTTGTTAAAGCATCTTGTCTCGAGTCTCGTCATGATTTTCATTCTGTATGTATTTGTTTTTATAGTTTCATTAGGTACTTAATGTCAAATTTACCCATTCTTTTGAAGTCCTATTAATGCTAGTTGCATACATCTGATATTACAAATAAACTGTTTCAAGCCAATATAGACAACGTTTAGCGGCAGAGTCTAAATTACCAAAATTTAATCAGTTAGTCCCTTGATCATTGTCTACCTGCTACTGAAAACAAAATGTGAAAATTCGAAACCGTTCGCGAGTGATCATGTACACAGACGGACGGACAGAAAGTTCAAATGACCAACATTTAATCAGTTAGTTCCTTGACCATTGTCTATACCTATTACTGAAAACAGAATTGGAAAATTCGAAACCGTTCGCGAATAATCATGTACTCAGACCGACGGACAGACAGCAAGTTCAAAATCATCACCTCGGTAATAATGAAGTTGATTAATTACAACACAAAATCACCTTACATTTCCATAAATACCCCAGAGCAACATTTCTTATTTCTACCTTATTTCTATTTCTTCTTCTTTTTCTTCTTGCAGTCCTCCGCCCTTTCCTATCCTGCGCTAATCTTTTCATTTCTACATAACTACCCTTGCCTACGTCCCTAACTCTGCCGTCCTACCCCTCTTTTGCCCTCTGCCCTACCTTCTATAGCTAGCTGTACTAATCCTCCGTGTCTGAGGACGTGCCCTATCATTCTACCTCATTTAACCAAAAAGGTAGTCCCAAAACCACCCCAACAGTACAATAATTTTACTTTTCCTCGTATAATTCTTGATAGAAACGACATACGAATGTCCGCTGTTATTCGTTAGGTTTTGTGGTGGCAGACGTATAAAGTTCCTTCACTAAAAATTTGGTTCATTGTACTTTCCCATAAAATACACAATTAGTTTCTATAGTAGTACTCATTAAACGTACTGAATTTTGGAAAGAAAACATTTTCCAATGTCTTAAGTTCTTTGGGGAATGTTTTTTATTAAGGTGGCGTAATGGCAATTTTTCTTTTTTATAATCGTTTTCAATTAAAAATTTCGTATTTATATAGTGGGGCAGATCAATGCCAGAAAATGATTGAACCGTTAAGATGATGGTACTTTGTATAAGTATCAAATTTGGTATGAATGTAAGGGTACTCTTTTATACAGGGTGACAATTTGAAAACTTACCACCCCCCATATCTTAGTAAATAAACGAGATATTTAAAAAAATCAAAATCCGTTTCGGTAATTCGGTGGGGGAATCACAATGACATAGTTGGCGACGCACCCCCTCCAACCCCCTGCGCCCCAGCCACCCCAACTTTTAAATCTTAAATAGTGGCCCCCCATGTGTGATACGTCGTTGGAAAGCTCTGAAAAAATGCTTTCCAACCATACCAAATAGCATTACATTTAGGTTAGTAATTATCGTGCAAATCAAAAAATAAACATGGAAAATCGTATTTAACTTGAAATTCCAAAGCCTACTCGACAGCAACTCATTTTTGATCGCCAGTTATAATCTATTCCCAAACTCTTGTCGAACCTTTTCAAATGTTGGTTTTGCAATATTTCGACATTCTTGAATTATTCTCTGTCTTAGTTCGTCTATGTTCGCCGGTTGCGTTTTAAATACGACAGATTTCAAATGTATCATATTAGCTTATTTTTTTATTTGCACGATAATTACTAACCTAAATGTAATGCTATTGGGTATGGTTGGAAAGCATTTTTTCAGAGCTTTCCAACGACGTATCACACATGGGGGGTCACTATTTAAGATTTAAAAGTTGGGGTGGCTGGGGCGCAGGGGGTGTGAGGGGTGCGTCGCCAACTATGTCATTGTGATTCCCCCTCCGAATTACCGAAACGGATTTTGATTTTTTTAAATATCTCGTTTATTTACTAAGATATGGGGGGTGGTAAGTTTTCAAATTGTCACCTTGTATAAAAACGCTGACCTCTTAAACAATTTGATATTGTCACTGTTTTCTAAGATGACGGCACATATATCATTAGTGGTAAGTATCTTTCAAATGATGATACTGTCATGAAATTTGGTATTAATGCTCTATAAGGGTCTTGTTTTATATGAAAACAGTGGCCGCTTAAGAAATTCGAGATGGTAAGTATCTTTGAACGAAGTTTGGTATAATTACGCCTCATCGGTCCAGTGATGTATCAGAAACGCCAAACTTTTCATAATACGAGCGTTAATATTTGCATGAGCTGGGCGCCATCTTTGGAAACGGCTATCATTTTAAATTTTTTTAATGGCCAGTGTTTTCATATAAAACAATACCCTTATAGAGCGTTCGTACCAAATTTCATAGTATAGTATCATCATTTAAAAGATACTTATCCCTAATAATAATTAATACCTATGTGACACCATCTTGGAAAACGACGTCAATATTAAATTTATTAAGTGGCACGTAATAATTTTCACTGCCAATTTACAGTACCTACTGTGTATATATTTCTGGTAAGATGTATTCCCGTTTCATTTTGCTGTTTTGAAGATTTCAATAGCACTGCTTTTGAAACTCGTAGAAATCGATTGGCGCAGGTTTAACATCTCTTTTTGTTCTCGAGTAGACGAGGGACAGACAGACGGACAAAACCATCACATAAGGGGAATTTTTATGTGGAAAAAATGTCCTAAAAACCTTATTGTCTTGAAGAATTAGTATACTCCTGACTACGATTATTATACAAAGACATCAGTTTGAGAAACGTACTTAATTGTGTAGGATCGGTACACGCTTTGACATAACAACCGATCCTTTATTTTTAGGGAAATTCCTCTTATGTAATGCTTTTGGCCGTCCGTCTGTTCCTCGTCAAACCTTCGCCAATCGATTTCTAGTTCAAGGATCAGTGCTATTGGATATGAGCCGGATTAAAAGTCGTGTTTCCGAATGCGAGCTGAGTGGCAAAAGATTCCCCTACTGAAAATCGTACGCGATTTTTCTCAGTGCCATTTTCGTCGATTTGACCTGAGAGTTGTTCTTTGATGAAAAATGTTGACGGATAACATTTCGACTTGGCCTTTTCTGTCGGACAAGGTAAAATAATTCGGCACGTACCCAAATTATCA